TAATGGGGCAAAAAAGACCACTCTTAACGTTAATACTACCATCGCATAAAGTGAACTACTATACGTGATTGGTAAACGTATTTCGCTCTGGAATCAAGTCTTACAAAGCTCGTATAATATTCCATTTTTCGCGCGACACTAACACTATACCATACCCTCGTGAGTAGCTCCGAGTCGCGCTTGCCCGGTCTTTCTTGTTTATCGAGACACAAAGGTGAGCCTAGTGGCCCTATGGCCACACCTTTAGCGAAAGGGTGTTTGTAACTGGTGTTAGACGAACCGTAGCTAGCCGGATCATCTAACCGATTTCGTCAATTGGTTAGCCAGCCCTGCTCTCACCGGCAGCCCACTCTCTCAGTCGCACAACGTCGAGGCTACTGCAAGCTCATCGCTGCAGACCCAGACTTGTGCGTCTAGACACGCGCAGCCACGCTCAGCCACCAGTCTCGGCTGTGGAGCGACAACACCGACGAAGAAGGCGACGGCTGCGCCCACGAGCCTTGCCAACTTGTACAAATACACGTGCTTTGATCCACCACTTTGACACCAACTGAAATTCATTTGGAAGAATCGCTCACATACAATGTCGGGATCATCGATGTTGACAGCGATGACGAGCTCGATATATGGAGCCCACTCGATGCGCGAGGTGATGCTGTGCAGGAACACCCAAGGGCCGTCTCTCGATCCTACGCAAGCGCGAGCTGCTCGGCCTCGCCGAGACGATCGGGGGCAGTACAGAAAGACGCCCTGCACGATGGAAGAATCGTACTTTCGCTGTGCGGTCAACTAGCTCGACCACCAGCCCGACTTTGCGGCTCACAATTCGATGCTCGAAGATGTCTTTGATGATAGCAGCCACTTGATGGACCCCCTCCCCAATGTCATCCCAAGTTCAACCCGATAGTGAACTATTGGGGAAGTGCCAAGTGCCGTTTCCAAGAAGTGGAAGAGGTTTTCCGCGCAAGGCCGAGCGTTCTAGAAGACCAAGATATGGAAGCACGCACTTTTACAAGATCCAG